TGGTGGTTACTGGTCATGAAACACACACATTATGAACCACAGTGTAACTCATCAGACCAGTTTTTAATGTTACACACTGTATGTATGTATCTATCTATCTATCTATCTATCTATCTATCTATCTATCTATCTATCTATCTATCTATCTACCAGGTGAAACTTGTCCCAGAATAAATGATAATAAAAAAATCATCGGTAAATAAATAAATCAAATAAAATTAACCACTTTAGAAATATTGATTAAAAATACAATAAATAAAAACGAAAAAATATGTAAAAATCGCCGGGTTTTTTTTTTATAGCGTGTCGTTTCCTTCAACAATTTGGAACTGATCGATAATAAAGGAAAAATTCGGTTACAGATCGATATAGAGCCAGTCATTAAATCACAGACAGGTAGAATGATATACAGGTTAGCCCATGTGTTGGTAGTGGTGAGGATGTGGGGGTTAAGTCATCACACCACACCACAACCACCATCACATTTAAAGGTATGGTGAGGATGTGGGGGTTAAGTCATCACACCACAACCGCCATCACATTTAAAGGTATGGTGAGGATGTGGGGGTTAAGTCATCACACCACAACCGCCATCACATTTAAAGGTATGGTGAGGATGTGGGGGTTAAGTCATCACACACCACAACCACCATCACATTTAAGGTATGGTGAGTGTGGGGGTTAAGTCATCACACCACACCACAACCACCATCACATTTAAAGGTATGGTGGATGTGGGGGTTAAGTCATCACAACACACCACAACCACCATCACATTTAAAGGTATGGTGAGTGTGGGGGTTAAGTCATCACACCACACCACAACCACCATCACATTTAAAGGTATGGTGAGGATGTGGGGGTTAAGTCATCACACCACACCACAACCACCATCACATTTAAAGGTATGGTGAGGATGTGGGGGTTAAGTCATCACATCACACCACATCCATCCCATTTATGATGCGGTTAATGTGGGTTGGTCACATACCATTAAAGGTGAATAATATGATTTAATAAAAGTTATTTATAGTTTATGCTTCAGTAATTTAGTTTATCTTGCTCAATATTGTTTGTGTTGTTATTATTGTTCTGTATACGATTTATATCAAAAGTAAATATTTAGTAATAATTATAATAATAATAATGATAATACAAATAATAATAATAATAATAATAATAATAATAATAATAATAATAATAATAATAATCATAATAATAATAATAATAATAAAGTTTAAGGAAGTGAATTAATATTTTTTCTGGACTACTTATTTCTATTTTATTTTATTAATGTTTACATATGTTTACTGGATAACATATGTGGGTTTGGCTATGTTATATTTTCCTATTAATTATAAAACGAAGAGAAAATAAACATAAGTTTGTGTCATGGGGGAGTTTTCTTAGTCTTTTTATTTTATTTTCCTCTGTTTTCAGGAAATTGAGGGAAAAAAGTCAACAGGAAACTATTTGTTACTATATTAACCCAGCGAAATATATCTTCCTTCTATAGTTTATATATCAATATATATTCCTGGTGTTATGGAAGGTGATTGAAATATTTATTCTACTGTATATAGAAGATCAGTTAAATATATTTCTAAATGTATTCTCAATTATGTAGTAGGTGATTAACTATGCAGTGTTTATACAGTGTGTCTAATTGTGTAATATACTCATGAAGTATATTCCCAGTTGTATACGTTAACGAGTGAAATATATTCCCAGTTGTATACGTTAACGAGTGAAGTATATTCCTATCTTGACAACAGTCGATCATAACACATAAACCTAATTTGGTGGTAATAGAAGTCAGTCAGTTTAACACACACACACACACACACACACACACACACACCTCATCATCTACTCAATTACACACACACAATCCATCTTTAAGTGAAAAAAGAACATTAAAGTTTTTTACTCCCATTATCCTACTGAAAGAAACCCACCCAAGGTAATTAAAGGAATGGTTCAATGCACCTTTAAAAAAATATATGTACATGCATATATAAGCCTAACGCCATTACTATATGGAAGCCACTGAGTCTGTCAACTTTATGAACTGGCTATATAAATGCCTTGACGGGGTGGGGGTGGGTTGGTGGGGCTGGGTTGGGGAGGGGTTGGTGGGGCTGGGTTGGGGAGGGGTTGGTGGGTGTAGGGGCTGCCAAGACCCTCTGAAGGTTATACACACTCCAGGGTAGATGCATTCACTAGTGACTGAGTGAGGGGTTAAGAGGTCCGTTTGACCTTTTAAGGAATAGGGAGTGTGTGGAGGAGGGTGCTGGATGTTGGGATTGGTAAATAGACGCTGTCGTGTTTAATTGACATTTAAAGGTTTGTGGTATTTAGTGGTCGAAGTGTGTGTGTGTGGTAGTCTCTTATTGAAAATATTGAGTCATGTTCATCGAGTTTCGACTTTGCCACTTCGGTAATAATTAAAGATGTCTGACAGAGAGAGACAGAAGAAAAACGAGAATTTGTCAAAATTTTCTGAATGAGTCGAAGTTTTTATTTGGAGGCGAAAGTGAGTGTGTGAAAGAGTGTGAGTGTGTGAAAGAGTGTGAGTGTGTGAAAGAGTGTGAGTGTGTGAAAGAGTGTGAGTGTGTGAAAGAGTGTGAGTGTGTGAAAGAGTGTGAGTATGTGGAGGCAGAAGACTAATCCTTAAAGAAGCAGTTTAAACAGTAACACTCGATAGTAAAGTCACATTTTGTAAACATGAACTAATATTATCCCGAATTGTCTGTCCCAACATCTTTCTTTCGTTTTAATTTTGTTTTGTTTTTTATAATTTTTAACTGTTATATGTGTGTGTGTGTGTAGGGGTGTAGTATCGTCTCCCAGGGTGTATAGGTCAGGCCTGCACCAGCCTCCTGAAGGAGTTACAGAGGAACATGGCCAGTCCCCACCTACTGCAACTAACACTATATGAAACACATCTTCCCTATATATAGTAAGTACAGGTATACACACTATACACACACTATACACACACTATACACACACTATATCATGTTGGTATACACGAGAACAAGCTTAATTATAGGTGGATTTAATACATACAGGTGTTTATAGTGTAGTAAATTGGCAAGTTACAGGGCATCAGGATGAGTTTGGAGGCAACGTCATCTTATGCCCAAACGTTATGTTACGATCAAAGCTAAAACCTAATCCAACCATACAAGTAATTCAAAGATGGATTAAGAAAAGTTATCTCCATTATCATTGTTCATTTGCATACGTAGTTTAAAAGTTCGTGGTATCGTTAGTATGTAAATAATGCCCCTTGTCGCTTCTATTGTAATTTGTGTGTGTGTGTGTGTGAAGCGGCTGTCGGCAAGTGTAATATTTCCATAGGTACTCTAACGTGGGCCACATATCTCCACAGGTACTCTACCGTGGGCCACATATCTCCATAGGTACTCTAACGTGGGCCACATCTCTCCATAGATACCTTACCGTGGGCCACTCTTTAGGTACCTTAACGTGGGCCACCTCTCTTCATAGGTACTCTACCGTGGGCCACATCTCTCCATAGGTACTCTACCATGGGCCACATCTCTCCCAGAACCTTGAACTCTTGGCGCCTCGTGTGTCCGGCCACCTTACAACACATAAACAAAATCTACTTCATTTTTCTTATCGGAAGTTAGACGGTATGAATGTAACTCAGATTTCTTAAGGTACAATTTAGCGAGGGTGTGTCATCACGGCTGGCACGCACACCTGCCTCGTCTGACGTTGATGACTTTGTAGAATTAATGTAACTCGACATTTAAGAGCGTCCGGAGAGATGATTTTTTTGTTGTTTGTTTTTTCTTGTTTTGTGGCTTTTAGTGGCGTGTTTACATGACGTCATTATTCCTTGGACAGATTTTCACGTTTTATTTATTTTTTTCCAGTATGTCTTTATTCAATTATTTACTTATCAATTATGTATTTTTTTTTGTATTAATGTCAGTTTTCTTTATACACCGTCGCTGGCGAAGTGGACAGGTAGAGTAACCACACTTGTTACACATCGTCACTGGCCCACAAAGTGTACCTGTCATATTGAGCTACACCTTAGACCCAGTGTGTACCCGTGAGGTGAGTGAGTGTAACCGAGTGTACATCGATAAACCACAACACTTCCAGTACACCTGACCTTGAACTTTGCCTTACCCCTAATAACCCGAGACAAGCGAGGGAGTTATATCACTTCTGTCATTAAATTACGCTAAAGAAAGTAAGAGTCGACTTAATACACTAGACGGAATAGTTTCACGCGACACACTTGCACCTTGCGTTCTGCCTCACAATACTTTTCTTAAGCAACAGTTCACGGGGAATTGTAGGTCAGAGGTAACGTCATATTTATGGTCGCGGAAGGACATGTTGCACAGGTGAAGGGGTTGATTATGATTTTTTCTTTTATTTTTAGTGTACGAGGTTAAGAGAATATTGTATTAAGGGTTAGGTTGAGGTGAGAGGCAGTAGGGAGAGGTTGGCGTGGCCGGTCAAACGCGGCTGTGAACTTCAACGCTGGAGCCAGGCTGAAGGTGCCGCCCCAGACGTTCCCTGCCGTGTCTCCTCTTGTTAATATTTACATAATGGTGACGTGGAGGTGAAGGTTAACGGAGCTCTGCTGACTGTAGCAGCAACAGTTGGAAAATGAAGTTTATCGGATTTAGCTGAATTCTGGTACGAACTGTGTTTAGTATACTTATATAGTATTTGGAAATTAATTAAACAAAATATAAAGATGGTATTTAACACCGCCACAGACGACCTGTTTGTCAACGTTTATCTTTCAACCTGAGGTGAGTCGTGTAGCAGCAGGTGACACACTACCCAGTAACAACATGGTCTTATCTACGTGAAGCGACGGTAGTTGCAGGTATACACACCACCTGGGTCTGTTACGTGGTGTAGACGGATGCTGGGTTTTAGTAGGTCTACATGATGTGCTGCTAGTTGCTGGTCGTGTAGAGGACTTAGTGATGACTTACCGTTGTATATGAGAGTGACGGGGTGGTGCTGGTAGTGGTGGTGGTGGGGGGGTCGCTGGGGGTCAGGTCTCGCCACCTCCGGGATGTGCACCTCCACCACCCGCTCCTCATCTCCCACCTCCACCTTGGGCCGGTGCAGGTTATGTAGGTGGTGGAAGTGGGGGTCCTCCTCGATGTGCCCCGGGGGGTACACATGGTAAGCGGCGTCCGGCCCCGTTCTGCCCAGATCGAGGGGTGCGGGGGCGTAGTAGTGTGGGGGAGGGGGCGCGAGGTTGAGTGGGTGGTGGTGATGGGCGGTGGTGTGTGAGGGTGGTGGCGAGGGCGCCGTCTCTCCCGCCGTGGGTGACCGGGGCGTCCAGGCGTTGCGAGAGTCCATGGGGGACGGCGAGCGGTCTCTCAGGGGTGATGGGTATGGGGAGTGTCGTCCCCCGGCCTTCTTAGCCATGAAGCACCTGGGCATGGTGGCGGCGCGGGTCACATAGCCGGCCGGCCGCTACACGACATCCAGGGGCACAGGGCGTCACAGGCGGCGTCACACACACACACACAGACACACACGGGCGGCCCAGCTCCCCGCAACACACAGTAGCGCCGCCCTCTCACCCGCTGCTTCTTATACCATCCGGGAGGCGCCAGTTGTCGCCAGTGCTGGACTCTCGCGGGCTGTCTCCGCCTCGTTACACCTTTCTTATATCACTTTACTCCGCTTCTCTGTATATTTGTTTTCAATACATGTATAATTTTGAAGATTCATCATAATAGAAAGTTTACTATAGTAGATGGGCGACATGTTGCGGCGCGGGGGAGGAGCGACGCACGCGCCACACGTGCCGGGGCGGAGTCTGGTGAGCTTCCTTCACCACCAACCTCTACATATTTAGTTTACACAGAGTTACGGGCATGATCCGTTCTTCTAGATATTTATTATAGTACATATTTACATACAGTCCCTTCACACAGTAGTATATGGTAAAGGAAGACTCACTGATTTAATAATAAAATAGTATGAGAAAGTGGTAGCTGGCGAAGCTGCGGCGCGCGTCCGCTCCAGCACCACTGTTGAATGGCCACCTGCCGCACCCTCCCCAGCTCCTCTCCCTCCCTCCTTCTTTCCCATTCCTTTCCTCGCCTTCTTTTTATTCCCTTTCCTTACATGACTGTTGTCCACGTCATGTACGAGTCATGGTGGTCAGGCTGGTACGAGCGGGTGCGGGCTGGCTGAGGTCCCTGGGCCGCGGACCTCGGGGATGGCGCAGTGCATGCAACAGTGTCAACTTGTGGATCTCCGGCCCACCCGTTGCACGTCCGCAGTCCCGCCAGGCCCGCAGTGAGGAACGACCCTCCACCGCCAACGCCGCACGCTGCCGCAGGACGGGGTTATGGATGTATGGCCCGGACTTGAGGCTAATGAATAACCTTCCGTGACTGGCATTGCGTCTCCATTTTCACCGCCGAGGGGTACATGAGGTGTCGGAGGTAGGAGGAGGGGGGAGGGGGGCATACCTGCGTTAAACAGATTTATCTACAATAAAATTACTAGTTTGTTATCTTTAAGCTGTTGGTTAGTACTGGTCTGTAACTTACATCGGTTACAGAGCCTGGCGGTACAGTGTCAGGTGGTCACAGCTACCTGAGTTATCGTCATCATTTCAGACGCCGTAATATCTACTTGTCAGGTTTAGGCTTCAGTATTGATAATCGCTTGTTTTGGCTTCACTGTCGGCGGTGGTCGCGTGTCTTAGCACCAGCACTGGAGGATCCGCTTCTTGGCTACAGTACTGGACCTCGCGCTTCTTGACCAGCAGTGGAGGTCGCGTGTTGACTTCAGCACCGGATGTCGCGTTTTTTGACTCTTAAGAACTGGAGGATCCTCGTCCTACCTTCAGCACTGTAGGTCGCGCGTCTTGACTTTAACACAGGAGAATTAGCGCAACGAAGGTCGCGTGTTTCAGTTTCAGCGTGGACATCATCCTGAAACGATGAAGATTCTGAAGGAACATAGAATAAATGCGACCTTTTGGCTTGATGAGTGGGGGTGAGGGAAGGAGGAGGGAGAAGAACGGGAGAGACTGGAGAATGAGGGGAGGAGGAGGAGGGAGACTTCTGAGGGGAAGTCCCTTGGGAATCTTCTCCCCCTTCACACTCATTAAAGCCACTCCCCCAAGTGAAACTCCCTACTCCCTCATGTTAAACTCCCTTACTCCCCACAAATAAGACTCCCAACTCCATCATATTAAACTCCCCATTCCCATAAATTTCACTCCCCACAACTCCAAGTTAAACCTGTAGCTTTCCTCCATGTTAAACACCCTACTCCCTTATGCTCCCCACTCCCTCAAATTAAACTTTCACTCCATGCTAAACTCCCCATCAGCCTTCTATGCTCGTCTCTGTTTAACTCCCTACTTGAATAAATGGCCTTCACCTACTCCCCATCACCCCGCCTTAGTTTAGGTTTTGTCTCCCTAGTTTAAATCTTGTCACCCCACCTCCCACCTCCTCTCAATCTACTCTTTACCTCCCCTCTTTTATTCCTCTCCCCATCTCCCCACCACTTCTCCCCCTCCCACCCCCTTTCTTCCCCCTCCCCACCTCCTTTCTTCCCCCTCCCCACCTCCTTTCTTCCCCCTCCCCACCTCCTTTCTTCCCTCTCCCCACCTCCTTTCTTCCCTCTCCCCACTTCATTACTACTATTCACACCCCGCTTCCTTTCTCCCACGACTCCTCTTCCGTATCTTCCCTCTTCTTTCTTTCTGCCCCTCCTCTTCCCCTCCTTCTCTCCCTACCCTATACATCCTCCTTATCCCTTGTTAGTCCCCTTTCTATTTCTTCTCTCTCATTCCTCTTCTCTCTCATTCCTCCTCCTCTCCTTCCTCTGCTCCCTCCATCTCCTCTCTTTTGTTCCTCCCTCTCCCTCCCTTTCCTCTCCTCTACACCCTCCCTCTCCTCAGCGTGATCGAGGGGGAAGTTGGGCAGCGGACGTCCGGCCTAGTTGGTCCTCTCCCTCCTCCTCCTCCCTCCCTCCCTCCCTACCTCACTCTCTCTCTACCCCCCTCTCTCCCTGTCTCCCCCTCTCTCTACCCCCTCTCCTTACCTCCCTCTCTCTATCTCCCTCTCCTAACTCCCCCCTCTCTCTCTCTACCCCTCTCTCTCTCTCCTACCCCCCTCTCTCTCTCTACCCCCTCTCTCTCTCTCTCTGTACCCTTCTCTCTTTTCTGTACCCCTTCTCTCTCTTACCCCCTCACTCTACCCCCTCTCTCTTATCTCCCTCTCTCTCTACCCCTCTCTCTATCTCTAACCTTCCTTCTTCCCTCCTCCCTTCTCTCTCTCTCTCTCTCTCTCTCTCTCTCTCTCTCTAATAGTGACAGTGGCTGCTGCTGTGATATTCCCTCACCCTAATCCAGCGTGACCAGATATTCGCCTTATGAATATTCGTGTCCAGATTTGTTCAGTAGTTGTTGGTAATTCAAATCTTCGTTGTGTGAGTATCGTGTTTCAGTATGTGTGTCTGTCTCTCTTATGTTTCACTGTGTTGTGTTTCAGTTTGGTGTTGTGTTTCAGTTGGGTGTTGTGTTTCGGTTTGGTGTTGCGTTTCAGTGTTGTGTTCCCACTAGTAAAGTTAGATACTCAAAATACTTTGATATTTAATGTTTTAAGATACTCCAGTATATGAGTATTTGTTGCTATGATCTTCGCTAAATAGATATTCCGGGGTTGAAATGTTTGGGTGTACATGTTTTGATCTTCGGTTTTCATTGTATTCGAGGACGTGGTCTTTCGGTTACCACAGTAAATTAATATTCAGTTTCCCCTTAAATCTTCCAGGAATCTTAACACCTTAACATATACGATTACCTTGAAACACCTGACACAACTTCGTTAATTTAGAATAGGATTAATTTCTCCACCACCGCCTCCGGCTCCCTACCTGGTCGAGTGTTTTAGGGTCTATGGAATCAAGTATGGGATATAACACACCTGGGCAGCGAGTTGTGGCACCTGTGTAATTACTGACTTGTAAACATTGTGTCAAGGGGAGAGACCGAGTAGAGGGTATTTATGTTAGTGTGTGTCTGTGATGTTAGTTAGGTTAGGTTAGGTTAGGTTTGGTTTAGGTTAAAGTTAAAGGCTACAGCCGGATTAGGTTGTGGAACATGGGTACGGAGGGGGGGTAGGTGGTGGAACACGCACAAACACACACGGGAAAAACACGCTCACACAAAACAGACAAATACACACGAAACACACACACACACACACACACACACACACACACACACACACACACACACACTTGGAAAAACACACACACACACACACACACAGGAAAAACACTCACATACACTCAAAACACACACACACACACACACACACACACACGGGAAAAACACTCACATACACTCAAAACACACACACACACACACACACACACACAGGGAGGCTGAAGAGGTTCGATCGTCTCCTAAGTGGACATTCAGTATTCAAGTCATATCCAGGAGGTAGAACGGAGGCTCCATGATTATGAGTCTTTGTCTGTCTGTCTTTTTTGATGTTTTATCCTCGTCCTGTGATAGTGAAACCTGGAGTCTTTTGTCGTATATAGACCTGTCAAGCTTTTTGGTTGACCCTTTATAAAACTAAAGTGAACTGAATGGCCGAGATTTATAAGGCAAGTCTTCAAATATTTTTTATATATCTGAATTTAAACCCTGAAACGTCGCTAGTTAAACCTTCATAGAATATTACTGATATATAAAGTTTAAACCATTGATGATATAACAGACAATGGGTGATTAGTTTCAGCTGTATTTCATCAATATTATATAAGTATTAAGATTATCAGAGGGGGTATATACAGAGCTCAGCCTTTAACCCCGAGGTGAAAGGGGGGAACCTAACCTAACCCCGAGGTGAAAGGGGGGAACCTAACCTAACCCCGAGGTGAAAAGGGGGAACCTAACCTAACCCCGAGGTGAAGGAGGAGGTGAAAGGAGGGAGGGAGGGAGGGGGGGAGAAGGTGTAATATATTATCTCACCGTTACTAGTCGCCCCCCCCCCCATCCACTGTCCGCGTCCTAAGCCAGAAATACGAGTTGAGATCGATAATCTTGGCCGGCCACTACCACCACCACGGAGTCGTCGCTTGTGGTGATTTTTCAGTGAATCAACAATACGGTGAAATGATCTCCTGTGAAATCAACTTGTATTTTTGTTTGTCCGGGACTTTTGTTGGCGATCTTGGTATAAACAAAGTGAAAAGATTGTGTTAGTTTGTTTTAATTCTGATTCGATATAATTCCAAATCGTAGATGCATCGATTTTCAGTAATGTTGGGAAAGGAAATCTTGTCTGTGCCTGGCAGCTGAGCGTCCTACAGTAGTATTCCTTTAGTTGGAGCCATCCTGTCGGTCTCCTTTTCCTCCCTCAGACAGCAGTGACATCCTCCTCCTCCTCCTCCTCCTCCTCCTGGATTTCCTAGAACGGGAGTGTATCTAGGACGAGAGGGAAAGAACAACTGTGGAACTGAACAAGGAGGAGAAGAGGGTCAGGTTTTATTGTGTATGAGGAT